TCCCCAGCGAAAAGGGTTCCTTCTTCAGCGCCCCGACTGTATACGCTGGAGGGAGAAGAGGCCAGGGTTAGGTCGGGCCTGTCCCCCTAGGGATTTTGGACGAAAAATCAAACATAATCAAACAAACACTCAAAAGATGCCCAAAAACATTCAAATAATAGTCCCAAGACGATTCGTTTGACTATTTTTGAATTTCCCCCCCCGTAGAGGGGCAGGCCCGACTTGAGGCCAGGGAAGCGGAGGGAGCGTTGACCTAAGGAACTCTAAATAAGGAGCGAAGGCCTTTTTTCCCATAAGTTCGACCTCGATTTCCCATGGCAAGCCTCAGGGAAGCCCCTCCCCAAACGACAAGGGTTCCTTCTTCAGCGCCCCGGCTGTGCACGCTGGAGGGAGAGGAGGCCAGGGGAGCGGAGGGAGCGGGAGGGAGGGGGGAGATGCCCGGGCAGGGGAGGGCCAAACCTGCCATCGCTCGGACGCCCCTTCCCCGTGCGTCTCTCGGTCTCGGGCCTTTATATAATATATATATATATATATATATATATATATATATACATACATACATGCATACATACATACATACACATATATATGTATAAATATTCGCAGAATGGCCCAGTATACTCCTCGATGGCCCTCGCCGAGGAACAATGCACACGCCCCAGCGATGCCAGGGAAACACGGGGCGGAGGTCACAACCTGCACCATGTCGCGCTCAATCCGAAGCGCACGTGCTCGATGGGTGTGGTGAGCCGAGCAGGCCGTGCATGTGGCAGTGCTGCGAGCGAACCTGCTACGTTGGCTCAGGGACTTCTGTAGCCCGGGACCCAGGCTCCGCACAGCGTGACTGCTGGCCTGGTGTTTTGCAAGCGGCTCAGCCCACGTAGCAGGCGGGCACCCGTCCCCACGGTGAACTCCAAGGTGCTTCCCACACCGACCGACTTGAACTGCAAAGGAGGGAGGGTGAGGAGAGGGGAAGGGAGGCGGGAGGAGGGAAAGGGGGGGAGCGGGATGAGAAAGCGGTGGAGTGAGAAAGGAGTACGGCGTACGAGGGAGGAGGGAGGGAGGGAGGGTTATGCTGCTCCCATCGTACTTAAGGACCACATCCCAAAAATTCGCCGGCCCAACGGGCCAGAGGCGTGCTAAAATCTCTGGTAACTGATTCACGATATTTCTAGCTCGCGCGCGCGGGGCGGCCCCTGGGGGTCCCCGGACGAAAACTAGCCCGCAAGGTCCCGGGCAGGTCCCGGGAGGTCCGACTCAGAGATGGTTTTCCTCCTGGGCGCCGCCCTCGAGGCCCTCCAGAGAGCCCCAAGAAGGGCCGCGAGGCCAACAAAGCCTCACAAGATGGTTCAAGAGTGCTCCGAGATGCCACACGCTCGCTTCAAGACGCCCAAGATGGCTCCCAGACGCCCCAACATGCCCCCAAGAGGCGTCCCAAGAGGGCCCCAAGAGGGACAAATCGCCCAATTCCTGACGCAAAACGTATATTTTCAGCAAATTCGCCACTTGAGCTTTCACAGCGTCAAAAGCGGCCCAAAAGGCCCCCAATATCGCCCCAAGACGGCCCAAGAAGCCCCCAAGAGGGCCCAAAAGCCGCCCCAGAGGGCCCCAAGACGACCCAAGAGGCCTCCAAGACAGCCCAAGAAGCCCCCAAGACGGCTCCACGAGGGGGTCCAGACGGGAGACCCGCACGGATATTTCGAGCCCTCGGCCCCGAGAAGCCCCCAGGAGCGCTCAAGAGGCCCCAAGAGGCCCCCAAGAGGCCCTAAGATGCCCCCACGAGGCCCTCAGGAGGCCCCCAAGAGGCCCCCGAGCGGCCCCAGGAGGCCCCCAAATGCCCCCCCAAGCACGCACGTGCCTGCGATGCTTCAGTACGGGCTGGCGGAATGAGCGAAGCGATTGAATAATTTCGAGCACCCAGAAAAATGTCGAAACAGCGTCGAACGAGTATCGCCACCCAGGGCCCGACACGTGAAACCCCTCCAGTTTCGGCACTTTCTCCTGGCGCCCGAACCTATTTCTTGTGCTCAAGGCTCGGGGATGGACAGACCCCCCTTTAGTAAAACGTGGTTTAGTGAAAACGAACTGAGGCCCAAACCTGGCAGGCGCAAGCCTGGAAAATAACGGCCACGGCGCCCTCTCGAGAACCGAAAACGGACAATTCACTAATCGACGTGTCACTGTTGGGGGTTCTGTCCGCCTCCGAAAGCCTAGGAAGCAGGTTGGAACATCACAGGGAGGGAGGGAGGCTCGGGGGCGAGGGGCCGCGAGCGCCGCGACGCTCAGGCCCGGGCGCGCCCCCGGCGCCAGCCCCAGGGAGGTCTTCTGCGACCGGAACTGCGCGCACCGGCCCCATGGGTGGGGCGCGCACGCACGCGGGCGGACCACGGAATTCGTCGTCGTCGTCGTCGTCGTCGTCGTCGTCGTCGTCGTCGTCGTCGTCGCCGCCGCCGCCGTCGTCGTCGTCGTCGTCGTCGTCGTCGTCGCCGCCGCCGTCGTCGTCGTCGTCGTCGTCGTCGTCGTCGTCGTCGTCGTTGTCGTCGTCGTCGTCGTGTCGTCGTCGTCGTCGTCGTCGCCGCCGTCGTCGTCGTCGTCGTCGTCGTCGCCGTCGCCGCCGTCGTCGTCGTCGTCGTCGTCGTCGTCGTCGTCGCCGTCGTCGCCTCGGGCCTGCCCGGCGAGCGAGGACGCAAGGGGGTCGGCCACGCGCAAGTCTGGCGCGGCAGGCCGAGCGCGGCGTGCGGTGTGGGGCAGCATGGCGGCCTGTGCTCGGCGGCGAGCCCGAGGGGGCAATCGACCACACGCAAGAGTGACCCCGGGTAATGCGGGATGACGATTAATAAAAAATGGGAGAGCACGATTAAAAACATAGTTTTCTGCCATTTCTGCACAATTTTCTGACTGGAGGAGAACGATTAAAAAATAGGTTTCCAGCCCGCGGCCGGTTTTTTCTAATCGTCATCCCGGGCGCCGCCGCGTGAACACGACCCCGGGTCATTTATTAATCGTCATCCTCCATTAAGAGTGACCTGTAGTGCGCAGTTCATTGGGGCCACGGTGGGGCCAAACACGAGCGCGCAAAGCGCTCATACCGCATCGCGGTCGGCGATCGGGGGGCCCCACTGGGCCCGCACCAGAGGTCACTCCAGCGAGAGGTCACTCTTACGTGTAGCCCAGGGAGAGAGATGAGAAGGAGAAGGCTTCCTCAGAAGGCTCGGAAGTCGACCAGCCTTGTGACACGTTCCCTCAGACTGCCCCCCGAAGACACGGAAGACTCCTCACAGGGCGCGAGGGCTTCGGAGAAGTCCCGCCGCCTTCCGAGAAGGCCTTCTCCTTCTGACCTCCCCTCACTCAATCCTGCTCCCCCATGCTGGAGCGGGAGCCCGTATAGCGTGCACCTGCCCCCCGCCCCTCCCCCTCCCCCCCTTGGGTTGCGATGGGCCTCCATGAAAACCCACTTGGGCAATCTGACGAGCTTTGGGGACCCTTTTGGCTCGCTCGGGGCAGCCATGGGGGCCATGCTTGGCTGTCTTGGCTGTCTTCTTCGGAGCCTCCTTGGGGCTCCCTTTTGGGCCGCCCTCCGCCTCCGAGACGCTCTCCGCCGACGGGCGGGATGTCGGCTCGGCGTGGGCGGCGGGAGGAGGAGGAGGAGGAGGAGGAGGAGGAGGAGGAGGAGGAGGAGGAGAGGAGGAGGAGGAGGAGGGAGGAGGAGGAGGAGGAGGGGGAGGAGGAGGAGGAGCGAGGAGGGGGGGTGCGTCCACAGGAGGGCGAGGGGCGAGGCACGCGCGCGCCCCTGCCGCCTCCGGGGCCCCTGGGGCTGGGGCGAGGCCGGCCTCGCTCGCCCGAGGAGGAGGAGGAGGAGGAGGAGGAGGGAGGAGGAGGAGGAGGAGGGAGGAGGGGAGGAGGAGGAGGAGGAGGGAGGAGGAGGAGGAGGAGGAGGAGGAGAGGAGGAGGAGAGGGAGGAGGAGGAGGAGGGAGGAGGAGGAGAGGAGGAGGAGGAGGAGGAGGGGAGGAGGAGGAGGAGGAGGGGGAGGAGGGAGGGGAGGGGAGGAGGAGGAGGAGGAGGAGGAGGAGGAGGAGGAGGAGGAGGAGGAGGGAGGAGGAGGAGGAGGAGGAGGAGGAGGAGGAGGAGGAGGAGGAGGAGGAGGAGGGGGAGGAGGAGGAGGAGCGAGGAGGAGGGGGTGGCGTCCACAGGAGGGCGAGGGGCGAGGCACGCGCGCGCCCCTGCCGCCTCCGGGGCCCCTGGGGCTGGGGCCGAGGCCGGCCTCGCTCGCCCGGGGAGGCCGGCTCCCGCGGGGCTGCCCCCGAGCGGTGGCTTTCGATCTCGCGTGGTTCTCGTCCTCCCTCGTGCTGTCTTCAAGCCACCTTTCTTGTTCTCCCTCGTTCGCCCTCGTTTTGTCGTTCTCCCTCGCTCTCCCTCGTTTTGCTCTCGTGCTCCCTCGTCTCGTTCTCGCTCTCCCTCGTTTTTCGTCTTCCGTCCACCTTCACCGCAGAGCGAGATCGAAACGAAACCGGCCCACACGAACTCGCCCAGACACCGTTGAGGTCCAACCCTGGGCTCCAGCGCCCCGAAAGTCGGTGGAGCCTGCCCGGCCTCTCCACCAGCACGTGTTCGATGCCCTCGGCTTGCACGCGCGCGCGCACGCGCGGGGCCGACAGACATCGAGTAGGGGATCGACTGCATCATTGATTTACCCCGGAACTGATTCTCCCGCCGAGCCTATGAACACAGAAATGGAATGCCCTCAGATCTGCGGAGGTTTCGATGCGTGTCTCTGGGATTCGGCGGAAGAAAAACAACATGTCTGGGGTACATCAATTATGTGGTCGAGCCCGCACTCGAAGAAGGAGACAACCAAGATATACGGGCAGCGCGCTGGCACGCGTGCAGCTGCACCCACGCGTCTCCCGGCCTGCATTCGCGTGCCTGCTCGCGCACGCGGGTGCACGGAAGGCCATGGTCGGCGCTGATGTCTGCTCCAGATGCGGGCGGAGTGGGAGGGCTACGCGCTCTCCTGTTTGGCGATCTCGCTGAGCATCTCCATCTCCTTCTCCACCGCGCTGTTGTCCCATGATGCATCGTAGGTCGGATATCTAGCAATACAGACGCTCTCTGCCTTGCTCGGCGACGGTGGTAATCGCTGGATGCGCTTGTTTTTCGGACTCCTCTTAACTGGCAGATCTTCCAACATATCCTTTCTGTGGATCATGCTCCAATCGACTTGCAACACAAACTTCCAAGCAAGCCTGCTTAGAGTTAGGTCGGGCATGTACCCCTACAGGCGGATTTTGGAAGGGAAATTAAACATACCCCAGAAATTATCCAGCATGCTCCAACATGATCAAACATTCGTCCACAGATTATTGTTGAACTATTTCTAAATATTCCTCCCGTAGAGGGACACGCCCGACTTAAGCTTGGAGGTCGTGGGGTTTCCATAAGCTGGCCGGCGTGCGCGCTATACTCAACAAAACAATCCGAGCGCTGCACATCCCACTCTGGGGCCCAGGAGACTTCCTCTCGCACGCATGGCTTGCGCTGAGCGAACACAAGTCCGCCCCCGCGACTGCGGGGCGTCGCACGTCCACCAGTACTCTTGGGGTGCCCATTGATTTTTCCCCTCTCGGCGCAGAGCGGGGTCCCGCTGGCCGTATCATATCTTTGTGTCCATACCGCCTGCCCATGCAACCGTCCTCTCGGGTCGGGCGAAAGGGGGGGACGGCAAAGGGGGGGTTTGAGAATCAGCTCACGTAGCTGATTTTCCCGGCGCCTCCCGGCGCTGGAGGCGGCTATGTATCGAGGAATGGGCCCTCGGTGAGGCCGAAACCAGCTGCATGCAGCACATTTCGCAACCCCCCCTTCCCCAATCCTCCCCTTTCGTCCGGCCTGATCCTCACACTAAGTTTGGCAATGCGTCGGTCTCACATAATCTTAGGGCACGCCGGGCACGGCTGCGACCGTAACTCTCTCCGGGTCCTGATCGGACCGCGTTCCGGGGCCCCGCCGGAGGCCCCCAGTGGTTCAAGATGGCCCAAGTCGGCTCAAGAATGGCCAACGTCAGCTGTTGGATGGCTACGGGAAGCCCCAATACGGTCCCGAGAAGCCACAGGAGGCTCACCGATGCTCTGTGATGGACCTCTCCGAATGGTTTCCGTATGTTTTCCCCAAGCATCATGTGGTGTTGGGTCCCCGTATTGAAGAGACAGTGCCGCGCGTCTCCTGTCCTCTCCTCTCCTCTCCTTTCCTCTCCTGTCGTCTCATCTCCTCCTCCCCCCTCCGCCCTCCCGCCTCCCATCCCTGCCTCTGCCCTCAGCATGACAGCCTCCTTCCCTTGGTCGAGCTTGCCTGCATCTGCCAGTCAGCACACTCCTCACACGTTCCGTGGCCCCATAAGGAGCTCCACCGAAAGCTCCAGCGGCATGGCACTGCCGCACCCACTTTGGCATACCGATCACTAATTCCGTGGCCTCACGGGGATCTCCACCGAAGGCCCCAATGGCAGCGCCCGCGGTACCGCCGAGCCCATTTCGGCATGCCCGTCACTCGTTTCGTGGCCTCATGGGGAGCTCCATTGACGGCCCCAGTGGCAGCGCCTTCAAGGCATCGCCGCGCCCATTTCGGCCCCTCACTCGTGGCCTCATGGGGAGCTCCCACGGAAGGCCCCAGTGGCAGCGCCTGCATGGCACGGCCGCGCCCATTTCGGCATACCCTTCACTCGTATCGTGGCCCCACAGGGAGCTCAACCAAAGGCCTCAGTGGCAGCACCCGCATGGCACCGACGCACACATTTCGGCACCCTCCTCAATAATTCCGTGGCCCCATAGGGAGCTCCACCGAAGACGATACTCACAACCGCAGTATTCACAGCTGCATGTGGTAGGTTCCTTCGCCAGGATCAATTCCCAACCATCCTGTGGTGTTGGGCCCTGGTGTTGAATCACTAGCGCACTGCGTCTCACCTCACTCCCCCCGCTTCGTCCTCATCCCTCCTCATCGTCATCGTCATCACCATCCTCATCTCCATTTGGGATACTGGAGTCAGCATCATCATCTCCACCATCAGAACCACCACCATCAACATCATTACCATGACACTCCGCATAAACACAGAAACCAGCATCGGCATCATCACCACCACACTCATCATCACAATCACCATCATCGCCATCATCATCTACATCAGCAGTATCACCAACACCATCATATCATCATTGACATCATCCTCATCCTCATCCTCATAATCATCCTCATCCTAATCCTCATCCTGATCCTCATCATCATCACAGGCATCATCATCTCCACCACCGCCAGCATCGTCGTCGTCGTATTCATTGCAATCCTCCTCATTCGCAGCTTCATTCTCCTAGTCTTACACGTCGTTCATTTCTAATGGTGCTCATTTCCAAGTGTGCTCGTTTCTAATTGTTCCTGTCCCCCTAGTGGCCAGGAAGAGGCCCAAGATAGAACAATTAGAACTGAACGGATCTTGGCCGTCCAAAAATCAAAGAACTTTCGAATACTTAGACATTGATAACGTGTACTCGTCAGGAGCATCGACATGCACATTAGCATCATCGCCAGCAACGTCACCGCCAGCGTCACCACCACCATCACCACCATCATCGCCATCATCATCAACATCGCCACCATCACCCGCATCCCATCATCATCATCATCATCATCATCATCAGCAACAGCAGCAGCACCGTCTCTACCGCCACCAACATCGTCGTCGTCGCAATCATTGCCATCCTCCTTTTTCGCACCTCCATTATTAATCATACTCGTCAGCAGCATCGCCATGTACATCAACACCATTGACAGCAACGGCATCACCAGCATCGCCACCACCACCATCATCATCATGATGAAGATCTCCATCAGCATCAGCATCATGCTCATCATCCTCATCTTCAGCATCGTCATCATCATCAGCACCATCATCCTCATCCTCATCCTCATCCTCATCCCCATCCTCAACATCATCATCATTACCATCATCATCAGCAACATCATCACCATTACAAACAACAACCTCAACACTCACATCAGCAACAACAACAACAACAACATCACCACTAGCATCTGCAGCATCAACACCACCATCACCATCTTCGTCACCACCACCACCACCAACCACCTGTCGGTGCGCCCCTCACACGTTCTGTGACCCAACAGGGAGCTCCACCGAAGGCCCAATGGAATGGCCCGCATGCCACCGCCGCGCTCATTTCGGCACACCCCTCACACATTTCGTATCCCAAAGGGAAACTCCACTACTGGCCACAATGGATGGAACGGTCCCCATGATACCGCCGCCCCCGTTTCGGCACGCTCATCACACGTTCCGTGGCCCCACAGGCAACTCCACCGAAGGCCCCAGAGGGAGGTTCCGCATGCCACCGCCGCGCTCATTTTGGCACACCCCGTATTGCCATAAGAACCCGAACCACCCAACTTCGAGGGTCTGCATTTCACCGCGACGTCCATGTCGGCACACCCCTCACACGTTCCGTGGCCTCATCGACAGCTCCACCAACGGCCCCAGTGAGAGGGTCCGCATGCCACCGCCAACGCTCCCATTTCGGCACACCCTCACTCGCTTCATGGTCCCATAAGGAGCTCCGCCAGAAGCCCTCGGGAGCTCCGCCGACGGCCCCAAGGGAAGGGTCCGTACGCCATCGCCAAACCCATTTCGGCACACAACCCTCACTTGCTAGGGAGCACCACCGAAGGCCCCCAATTGGAGGGTCCGCATGCCACTGCCGTTACAGTTTCGGTACACCGTTTACTCTTTTCGTGGCCCCGTGGGGAGCTCCACCGAAGGCTTTAGTGGCAACGCATGCATGGCACAGCCGTGCTCATTTCGTCATGCCACTCACACGTTTCGTGACCCCATAGGGAGCTCCACCGACGAGCCGAGCAAGAGGGTCCGTATGCCACTGCCGCGCCCATTTCGCAACGGCCCTCGCACGCTTCGTTGCCCTACTGGGAGCGCCACCGAAGTTCCCCACTGTGAGGGTCTGCGTGCCGCTGCCGTTCCAAGTTCAGTACACCCCTTCCCTCACTTGCTCCGTGCCCCCATAGGGAGCTCCACCGAAAGCGGTACCAACCATTTCCATATGATTGGGTCCTTCGCCAAGCTACTTGGCATTCCTCGCTTTGACGCATCCGACAGGACAAGGCGAGGCTGAGGTTCATCAGGCTGAGGGTCACTTCGTGGATCGTTCCTGTCCAATTCAGTATCCTCCTTCTCCTCCTCCTCCTCCTCCTCCTCCTCCTCCTCCTGCTCCTCCCATTTTCTTTTTTCCACACACGCTTCATCATCCTCTCCTCTTCCTCCTCCTCCTCCTCCTCCTCCTCCTCCTCCTCTTCCTGATCCTCCTGCTCCTCCTCCTCCTCCTTCTCCTCCTTCTCCTCCTCCTCCTCCTCCTCCTCCTCCTCCTCCTCCGCTTCCTCCTCCCCCTCTCCCCCCTTCTCCTCCCACTCCCCTCTTATCCTCCTACTCCCGATCCATGTTCTGATTTGCCCTTTTCGTCCGTCTACCTCCTCTGACTCATCCTCTTCGTCCTCCTGCTGCCGCTGCTCATCCTCATGTCTCCTGCTGTTCCTACTCCTTCTCCGGCCTCTCTCTCCTCCGATTCCTCCTTCAGCCTCGGATTCCTCCTCCCATTCATCCTACTCATCCTCCCTCCCCCTTCTCTTGTAGTCTCGGAGTTCAGCACTGGCCATCGCTCGGACGTCCATTCCCTGTGTTTTTTTCGAATTCGTGCGTGTTTTTTTTTTTCGCGAAATAATCAAGGATGCTCCTCGATGGCCCTCGCCGAGAAAAAATGCACACGTCCGAGCGATGCCAGGAGCATAGGCGCTGTTCCACCCGCCCTCTCGCGGATAATGCGGCACGAGTGCCGAGGCCTCGAAGGCAGAACTTTAGGAACGGCAGCTGACCTGATTTTAAAATAACTGCACCTGACTGGGGTCGGAGAGGGACAAGTAGAAAGGAGGAGAGAGATACAGCTGACATGAGAGACGTGGAACTCAGCTGATATGAGAGACATCAAATGAAGGCGTCCTGATACAGCTCCTCGGTGAGGAACGGCAGCAGGGGATGCATCAGACGCAGGGACCTTGGCGTGAGGGGATGGGGAGAGGAGGTGAAGAAAGCGTACCCTGGACTGCAGCTGCAGGGATTTCCAAAATGAGCAACTTCTCTGAAGTCGGGCCTGTCATCCTACAGGGGGATTTTGGACGAAAAATAAAGCATGGTCAAAACATACCCCCGAATGGTCAAACATACTATTTGATCTGACTATTGCTGGGTATTTCTCCTGTAAGGGTACAGGCCTGACTTAAAACTTCTCATCCAGAACATCTGTTCGAAGGTCCGGGGCCAGGGAGGTGCCCAAGGAAACGGACACCGACGCCCAAACCTCCGCGCCGCTCGACCCTCCGGCCGTCCCTGTTCCTCCACGGCGGGGACCAGTCGAGGCACAGGTAAAGCACGTTGCACGCGACCTCGCGGTCCTTCTTGACCTCGTCGCTCGCAGCTTCGCCTGCCCGTCTCGCGGGGCCCCGTGCGGGCGCGGTGTCCGCCCCCCCCCCCCCCCCGGGTGCACTGTGAGAGCGACGCCCTCCTCCGCTGGCGAACACGTCGCGCGGACGTGCCGGCGGGCCGTCCTCTCCTCGACCGGGGGGGGAGGAGAGTGGCGGGAGCCAGGGGGAGGGGTAGGAGGAGGAGGGGGGGGAGGAGGAGGAGGAGGAGGAGGAGGGGGAGGAGGAGGAGGAGGAGGAGGAGGAGGAGGAGGAGGAGGAGGAGGGGGAGGGGAGGAGGAGGAGGAGGAGGGGGGGGAGGAGGAAGAGGAGGAGGAGGAGGAGGAGGCGGAGGAGGACGATGAGGAGGAGGAGGAGGAGGAAGAGGGGGAGGAGCAGGAGGGGGAGGAGGAGGAGGAGGAGGCGGAGGAGGAGGACGATGAGTGTTCCCAACCAACCTGTGTTGTTGGGTCCTCGTTTTGAAGAGAGAGCGCCCCGCGTTCCTTCCTCCTCCCGGGGGTGTTCGCATGCGGTTCCCCCACCCAGGGCAGCGTTTCGTGGCCCCATAGGGAGCTCCACCGAAGGCCCCAGTGGGGGTGTTCGCATGCGGTTCCCCACCCAGGGCAGCGTTGTCGTAGTCCCCAGTGGGGGTGTTGCATGCGGTTCCCCCACCCAGGGCAGCGTTTCGTGGCCCCATAGGGAGCTCACGAAGGCCCCAGTGGGGGTGTTCGCATGCGGTTCCCCCACCCAGGGCAGCGTTTCGTGGCCCCATAGGGAGCTCCACCGAAGGCCCCAGTGGGGGTGTTCGCATGCGGTTCCCCCACCCAGGGCAGCGTTTCGTAGCCCCATAGGGAGCTCCACCGAAGGCCCCAGTGGGGGTGTTCGCATGCGGTTCCCCCACCCAGGGCAGCGTTTCGTGGCCCCATAGGGAGCTCCACCGAAGGCCCCAGTGGGGGTGTTCGCATGCGGTTCCCCCACCCAGGGCAGCGTTTCGTGGCCCCATAGGGAGCTCCACCGAAGGCCCCAGTGGGGGTGTTCGCATGCGGTTCCCCCACCCAGGGCAGCGTTTCGTGGCCCCATAGGGAGCTCCACCGAAGGCCCCAGTGGGGGTGTTCGCATGCGGTTCCCCCACCCAGGGCAGCGTTTCGTAGCCCCATAGGGAGCTCCACCGAAGGCCCCAGTGGGGGTGTTCGCATGCGGTTCCCCCACCCAGGGCAGCGTTTCGTGGCCCCATAGGGAGCTCCACCGAAGGCCCCAGTGGGGGTGTTCGCATGCGGTTCCCCCACCCAGGGCAGCGTTTCGTGGCCCCATAGGGAGCTCCACCGAAGGCCCCAGTGGGGGTGTTCGCATGCGGCTCCCCCGCCCAGGGCAGCGTTTCGTAGCCCCATAGGGAGCTCCACCGAAGGCCCCAGTGTGGGTGTTCGCATGCGGTTCCCCCACCCAGGGCAGCGTTTCGTGGCCCCATAGGGAGCTCCACCGAAGGCCTCAGTGGGGGTGTTCGCACGCGGTTCCCCCACCCAGGGCAGCGTTTCGTAGCCCCATAGGGAGCTCCACCGAAGGCCCCAGTGGGGGTGTTCGCATGCGGTTCCCCCACCCAGGGCAGCGTTTCGTGGCCCCATAGGGAGCTCCACCGAAGGCCCCAGTGGGGGTGTTCGCATGCGGTTCCCCCACCCAGGGCAGCGTTTCGTAGCCCCATAGGGAGCTCCACCGAAGGCCCCAGTGGGGGTGTTCGCATGCGGTTCCCCCACCCAGGGCAGCGTTTCGTGGCCCCATAGGGAGCTCCACCGAAGGGCCAGTGGGGTGTTCGCATGCGGTTTCCCACCCAGGGCAGCGCTTCGTGGCCCCATAGGGAGTCCACCGAAGGCCCCAGGGGCTGCTCCCTCGCATGCGGTTCCCCCCCACCCAGGGCAGCGTTTCGTGCCCCATAGGGAGCTCCACCGAAGGCCCCAGTGGGGGTGTCTCGCATGCGGTTCCCCCACCCAGGGCAGCGTTTCGTGGCCCCATAGGGAGCTCCACCGAAAGCCCCCGTGGCGCAGTTCGCATGCGCTTCCCCCACCCAGGGCAGCGTTTCGTGGCACCATAGGGAGCTCCACCGAAGGCCCCAGTGGCGCAGTTCGCATGCGGTTCCCCCACCCAGGGCAGCGTTTCGTAGCCCCATAGGGAGCTCCACCGAAGCGTCGCCCCGGTGGCGCAGTCCGCATGCGGTTCCCCCATCCAAGGCAGCGCTTCGTGGCCCCATATGGAGCCCCCCACCGAAAAGCGGCACCCACAACGCGTTACCAACAATTGCTTATGGTTGGGTCTTTCGCCAGGATAATTTTTTCCAACCATCCTGTGGTGTTGGGTCCTCGTTTTGAAGGAGACGGTGCCCCGCGTTCCTCCTCCTCCCCTCCTCCCCTCCTAGCCTCTGCTCTCGGCACACCTCTCACGCGTTTCGTAGCCCCAAGGGAGCTCCACCGAAGGCCCCAGTGGGGCTGCCTGCATGCGGTCCCCCACCCAGGGCAGCGTTTCGTAGCCCCATAGGGAGCTCCACCGAAGGCCCCAGTGGGGGTGTTCGCATGCGGTTCCCCACCCAGGGCAGCGTTTCGTGGCCCCATAGGGAGCTCCACCGAAGGCCCCAGTGGGGGTGTTCGCATGCGGTTCCCCCACCCAGGGCAGCGTTTCGTAGCCCCATAGGGAGCTCCACCGAAGGCCCCAGTGGGGGTGTTCGCATGCGGTTCCCCCACCCAGGGCAGCGTTTCGTGGCCCCATAGGGAGCTCCACCGAAGGCCCCAGTGGGGGTGTTCGCATGCGGTTCCCCCACCCAGGGCAGCGTTTCGTAGCCCCATAGGGAGCTCCACCGAAGGCCCCAGTGGGGGTGTTCGCATGCGGTTCCCCCACCCAGGGCAGCGTTTCGTGGCCCCATAGGGAGCTCCACCGAAGGCCCCAGTGGGGGTGTTCGCATGCGGTTCCCCCACCCAGGGCAGCGTTTCGTAGCCCCATAGGGAGCTCCACCGAAGGCCCCAGTGGGGGTGTTCGCATGCGGTTCCCCCACCCAGGGCAGCGTTTCGTGGCCCCATAGGGAGCTCCACCGAAGGCCCCAGTGGGGGTGTTCGCATGCGGTTCCCCCACCCAGGGCAGCGTTTCGTAGCCCCATAGGGAGCTCCACCGAAGGCCCCAGTGGGGGTGTTCGCATGCGGTTCCCCCACCCAGGGCAGCGTTTCGTGGCCCCATAGGGAGCTCCACCGAAGGCCCCAGTGGGGTGTTCGCATGCGGTTCCCCCACCCAGGGCAGCGTTTCGTAGCCCCATAGGGAGCTCCACCGAAGGCCCCAGTGGGGGTGTTCGCATGCGGTTCCCCCACCCAGGGCAGCGTTTCGTGGCCCCATAGGGAGCTCCACCGAAGGCCCCAGTGGGGGTGTTCGCATGCGGTTCCCCCACCCAGGGCAGCGTTTCGTGGCCCCATAGGGAGCTCCACCGAAGGCCCCAGTGGGGGTGTTCGCATGCGGTTCCCCCACCCAGGGCAGCGTTTCGTGGCCCCATAGGGAGCTCCACCGAAGGCCCCAGTGGGGGTGTTCGCATGCGGTTCCCCCACCCAGGGCAGCGTTTCGTAGCCCCATAGGGAGCTCCACCGAAGGCCCCAGTGGGGGTGTTCGCATGCGGTTCCCCCACCCAGGGCAGCGTTTCGTGGCCCCATAGGGAGCTCCACCGAAGGCCCCAGTGGGGGTGTTCGCATGCGGTTCCCCCACCCAGGGCAGCGTTTCGTAGCCCCATAGGGAGCTCCACCGAAGGCCCCAGTGGGGGTGTTCGCATGCGGTTCCCCCACCCAGGGCAGCGTTTCGTGGCCCCATAGGGAGCTCCACCGAAGGCCCCAGTGGGGGTGTTCGCATGCGGTTCCCCCACCCAGGGCAGCGTTTCGTAGCCCCATAGGGAGCTCCACCGAAGGCCCCAGTGGGGGTGTTCGCATGCGGTTCCCCCACCCAGGGCAACGCTTCGTGGCCCCATAGGGAGCTCCACCGAAGGCCCCAGTGGGGGTGTTCGCATGCGGTTCCCCCACCCAGGGCAGCGCTTCGTGGCCCCATAGGGAGCTCCACCGAAGGCCCCAGTGGCTGCTCTCGCATGCGGTTCCCCCACCCAGGGCAGCGTTTCGTGGCCCCATAGGGAGCTCCACCGGAGGCCCCAGTGGCTGCTCTCGCATGCGGTTCCCCCACCCAGGGCAGCGCTTCGTGGCCCCATGGGGAGCTCCACCGAAAGCCCCCGTGGCGCAGTTCGCATGCGCTTCCCCCGCCCAGGGCAGCGTTTCGTGGCACCATAGGGAGCTCCACCGAAGGCCCCAGTGGCGCAGTTCGCATGCGGTTCCCCCACCCAGGGCAGCGTTTCGTAGCCCCATAGGGAGCTCCACCGAAGGCCCGCCCCGGTGGCGCAGTCCGCATGCGGTTCCCCCATCCAAGGCAGCGCTTCGTGGCCCCATATGGAGCCCCACCGAAAGCGGCACCCATAACGCGTTACCAACAATTGCTTATGGTTGGGTCTTTCGCCAGGATAATTTTTCACGCGCATCTATATTCCATCCCAGGTCCGTAATCCGTGATCCGTGGCAGCGGCGCAGCAGCAGGCCATGCCTGCCAACGTCGAAATCCGCGCAGGAGGGGGGAGCAGCGGCAGCAGAGGAGCAGCGAAGGAGGAGAGAAAGGACAGGGTGCATGACGCCCGTGCACAACGGGTGGCCGATCTTCGTCCACCCGTGGGAGGTGCCGAGGTACCTCGCGCGCGGGGCGGGGCGGGGCAGCACCGCCCGCTACCGATCCTCCCGAACGAGAGTCCTCGGCAGCGGGGGGGCGCACTCGGTGACGGGGGAGGACAGAGTCCATGCCCCGCAAGCCTCGGGCGCCCGCAACCCAGGCCACCGTCGCCACGACCCACAACCCAGGCGCGAAAAACACCTTGACAAAATCGAGAGGCAGGCACCCTACCTCCCAGAGAGGCGCAACGGGCACAGTTGAACAGGTCGTCGACGGGGCGGGCGGCGGGGGCGGCAGGGAGCGG